GCTTGGTTGCCTGTCCAAATTATAAAGAAATACATTAATATTGTACAATTTCACAATTTATGTCCACTGCCAGCATGTAGTGCAAATGCAGTAGTGTGGCCTTTCTCTAGCCAAGCAGAAAGTAAGGGTGAGGAGGTCGTGGTGGTGTTTGTGTGTAATGCCGCAGACTTAAATGGAGGACACTGGAGTTCGTCCCATGTCACAGAATTGCAGTTAACGTTTACCTTTTTGAGTAGGGCAACACTACAACAACAACCTATGATATGGCTTGGCAACAAAAACTGGAGGCTGTGGTTACTATACTTGGTATACTTTGTAAAACATTAAAAGGGGTGGCGGTGGAACAGTGGAATGCAACTTGCTCCAGAGGCATGCAACCTCTGAGATATATATATATATATATATATAGCAATTGTAAGTCACTTTGGATAAAAGCGTCAGCTTAATTATTATTAAATATTAAAAAAGACCAATGCCTACTGCTTCATTTAATCCCTGACTTTGTCCCTATCTAATAATGATCACATCCTTCTCTAATCTTAACCAAGTGCTTTGAGTCACTGATAATAACAATTATGCTTTAGGAGGATGAGCTGGTATCGTAGGGAAAACAAAATTAATAAATTAACACTGAACTTTTTTGCAGAAATCTTCAATATGAATATTTTGCTTTATTTTAATATATTTCCTTGTTATGTTTGATAAAAATGTATGCTTGACAGCTTCGTACATACATCTCTGCTAATTCAAATTAGCTGTATCTGAGTGCAAGAGTTGATGGGTAAATCATGATGAATAATGCATAAACACACACAAAAGTCAAAAACCCAAATGGATTTCACAAGATGTAAAAATACAGCCTCACAAACAAAACCCCACAACCATGTCCACTGGAGCGCAAGTCCCTACTGGAACCACAGAAAGACAAAAGAAAAGTGTCAAATCTGACAGGCTGAGTCCATCTGGGCAAGACCTCACAGCCATCATGCATGATATTGACCTATTGGTTCACTCATGAGAAGGCCCCAGGCATTTCACACATTTGTCTATGTTTGGAAGTACCCTAAGGTATTTCCTATATGTAGTTTTGTATATGTGTCTGATGTTATTGCTGTTTGTGGATATGCAGACGTATGTTCTTGAAATTCCCTAAGCACTGCGCATCTCCTGAATAATTTGACTTGCCATGAATATTTTTAAATGTGTCAACATGGGACCCAATGTGTTTCCCTTTTGTACACACACATACATGCACACTCACACACTGCCATCTCTGAAGTGTCGGCTGAGTGTACCAGACCGTTCCCCATGGATAAACATCGATGGGATGTATTGTGGTCTCTCTGAGCAGAGTGTGTGTTCCTCAGCTCATGTCAAGGCGTTCCACTCACATTCTGGGTTGGTATTTTTAACCCAGATGGTTTTTTTTCACTTCAGTCAGAGACATTTTTCCTTTTCATTTTTGACAACATTTAGAATTGTAAATGCCACACACAAGGTCACTAGGTGTGAGGTTATAGCACTACTGGCTTAAAGATAATTTCCTTTGTTACAGCAGTACCAAAACACACAAAAGTCAATAAACTTTCTTTTATTAAATCACATACCTACAAAAGTTCAGCACAGGAACCAATTCAATAGGAATTTCCAGCTTCTCTGGGCTACAAAACCATTTCAACAGATTTTTCTAGTGCGTCTCTACTCCACCGAGGACCAACTTTTAACACTTTCTGTGTTTTAGAATCTATTGTGCCTCTTAAAGAAAAGGGAGTGATTCCTCAAACCTTACTCTGGCTTAATGACCCCACTAGAGTCTTTACAAGAAATTGTAGGAAAGCTGAAAGGAAGTGGAAAAGAACACAACCAGTCAGAGTTTGTTGCGTGGGTTTATTTCAAGTCAAGTCAGCATGTTTTAAGCAACGTAATTATGAGTGTCTAGTCTAACTTTGATCAACAAAACAAATCAAATGTCGGAGAGACTGCAGCCTGGGAAGGTGCTAGAGCTGGTATGGAAATAAGATGTCTGTTGTGTGGGAACACTTTGGCATTAGTCAAGATGATAAAGACAAAACAAAGGAAAATAAAAATACTGTGAGATAATAGCAAAACAACTGACTAAATGTGTTCTTATCTTGCTCCAGTGATGTATATGTGTACACCAGGACCCTGTAACATCACTGTTGGGCATTATTACAGGTGCAACAAAGTACAGTTGACCACACCCAACCTGAAACAGCCTTACAATATTCAACCAGAGAGAGCTTCTCAGCCTGATTCTGGCTGACCCTGTGATTAATTGGACAAACTCCTAAAAGAATGTGTACCACTGACGTAAATGGAGGCTTGACCCCTCATGTTTCTCACTGCTCTCGCTCTTCTTAAATGCTTTAATGTTCCCTTTTAATATTAATTTTCCATTTATTTTTGACTATTTAAAGCACAGCTCCTCATTTTGCATTTTAAATCCAATTTTTTGGCTTCTAGTGGCTACTACTGACCAAATCTGTGAAAATGATAAATCTGTAATATTGCATTTGTTTTGCAGTTGTGGACCACTTTTTCAAATGTATTGTACTTAAAGTCATGTGGACTGTGGTTATCACTTGTAACTGAAATGGATTGTGGTGTACCAAGCTGGTAAATTACATCAATGTCAATTTTTAACTGAGCCTTTATTTCTTTTGAAACCCACAGGACTTACAGTGGGATATCACTTTACTAAACATTGGTGCCGTGTTTGCCCAGTCATACTGTCAATGTCAAACAATATCAAAACTTACAAAGAAATACTTGGCCTTTTTGAGATGAAAGATTCTGTCTGTGTTTTGAAGAGCGAACACTGTCATACAGCTTGAAAGGTTTCTGTGACAATACTCTGCTGGAAGTGGACTGCATTTAAGTGGAGTGCATCTGTATAAGTGGTTGAAGTTCTAGGTACTC